GGTCTCCTGATCAGCGACTTCGATGATAACATCGTCCGACAGGCACAACATGATTGTCGAGTGAGCCTTTTCTTCTAGGGTTTTCCACTCTTCATCATCGTTTGCCTTATTCACCTTTTCAGTCAGCGGCGCCCACAATCCCTGCTGCTTCAGCAACGATCGCATCTTGATCTGCCACAAGCCAAAACTATTTCTCCCGTTGAATTTATCAATCTTCACGTTCAGAGCAGATGACATCTTCGATTGACTCAAGAAACCCTAACAGTGCGGAATTCAGAAAATCCCTAATCAGAAGAACCAGAAGCTCTGATACCAGTTTGTTGTTACGGAATAGGGTATTGAGTAATCAAAGAACAAACAGAAAAACACAACAACAGATTTAACGTGGTTCACCAACGTTGTGTTGGCTAGTCCACGGGGAAGAGGGGGAGCAGTTTTATTTCTGAAGGAGAGGCAAAACAGAGTACAGCACAGAGGGTTTGTGGTAGCACCCATATAAATAGTGCTTGACTAAACCCTAACATACTTGGGCCCAAAACTACAGAATTAACAGATAATTACAAGCCCAATTAACTTCTCCGGATTCTGACTTCTCCGGATTCTGACTTCTCCGGAATCTGACTCCTCCGAACTCTGACTTCTCCGAAAACGGACTTCTCCGGATTCGGAGCTGTGATGGGTCAGATTCAAGGCATTTTAACGTTGGGAACAATAAGAAATTACAATAATTAATGAAGAGGAGATTGAGAAGACAGAAGTTCAACAATATTCATTAAATAGTTAATGACAAATAGATAATGATACATTAATTACATCAACTGACTTATTTATTGAAGTTGATGTCTTCTCCTTAATCCTTGACTACACGGGGAGGCTCATAGAAGGGCTGTTTGGAGGGGTCTATGAGGCGAACATTAGTCGCTCGATCGAAAAACCAATCGACCAATGCACTCTCAAAAGACTTGGACTTTCGTCCGGGAAACATTGGCCCTTTGTAGCCCTGCACCGTACCAAGACTGTGAATGAAGAGGGATGTGATTAGATACCCCTTCGTGCGGCTTGGTCGGGGCAGGGCTCTGATTGTTTGCCCCCGAAAGTCTCGGAGGAGAGCCAAGTCCCCTCGGCCAACCCTATGGTTCATGATGCGGTCGTGCAAGGGCTTGGAGAACGTGTTCGTGACCTGGAACGAATCGAATGCCGAGTCCAAAAGAAAAAACGGCGATTCGATGTACCGAACCAGGTTTCGGGGGAAGAAACACGCCCCCGCCCCCATTTTCGCCGTGCACCGTCTGGGCAACGCGTTGTCCGGACGGTGCAAGCTCACGACATCGCGGAAGACGTCATCAAAGAAGGCCACACGCTGGGGGTCTCGGACGCGGAGGAAGAGCGAGCTGTCGGCGAGACACTTCACTCTCACATTCTCCGGGAAAAGGCGCCGGAAGCGGTCGCAGTGCACCATGACGCCGAGACCGCAGGACGAACCCCCGGCAAGGAGGACGTTACGGGCACTTCCGAGCCTTTTCGTCATCAGCTCCTCGACGACAACCCGGAAAATCCTCGCCCCCCGGTAGTACAGGCCCGTGGCGGGGTCAGGCTTCTCGACATTGCCCGAGAACGACCCCCCGTCACAGGATCTCACCACCACACGATTCCAATCGTGAAAATAAGAATCGTTGGGGTGGGGAGACAGAAAATGATGCTTCGAGAAATTGTAGGGCTTCATGAGGCGCGAAGAACCGACATCGGTTTTCGACCGGTTGGCACAGCTCTAAACAGAACCATCGGGAGTTTGATGCATGGTGGAGTTCACACACCAGCCGGCGCCTTGGATGAAAACGACCCAGTTCGTCGCCCCTTCTCATCCTTTTCCGGCGTCCCATTCGTAAGCCGGCGGGCTACCATCAAGGCAAACGACGCCTTGGGATACAGCGCCGGGAAGGATGCTGAGAACATAGGAGACATTGATTGTGTGTTGGAGGAGCAACAACAACACAACAGAGAGAATTATTTTAAGGAGAGGGAGAGGTGTGGTGTTTTCTGTTGCCATACTGTGCTAGCTAGCAGCGTGATTATGGAGGAGAGCTAGCAAAGGCTAGTAGCTAGGTGAATTAAATTGAATTGTGGGGGGTTGATGGCTTTAACTCGATCAGGGGAATATGTATATATATACTGAGGGTTGATGGGAGTAATAATTAAGGGAATGGGGCAAATCGATCACATGCATGCACTAGCTTTAGTAGGGTATGGGCAAGAGGGTAATTGATGTTGAATTGTTGGTCACTTGGTCCTTTGGACTCAACAACTTACCAGTTTCATTTAATTTTTTAAAAATTTAAGTAAATTTTATGACTCGGTATAAATATTACGAATAAAAAATATATATGCAGAAATTTTGAAAAGTGCAAGCTAAGATAATAATGTGATATAATTAAAATTTTGTATGAAAATATAAATTTATATACAAAAAACTAGTAAGCAAAGAGATATAATTATAATCTTATCTTTATAACATTATAATCCCTCCGTCCCAGAGTATTTGTCCACTTTCATTTATACACAGCATCCAATGCCTTTCTTTAATCCATTTTATCTTGTAATTTGTACGTAGTATATTAAAAAATTATAGAAATTACTCCCTCCGTTCCACAAAACCCTTCCTCTTTCGTTTTTTTTTTGCTTTCCACAAAACACTTCCACTTTCTATTAAAAAAACCACTTTTACCCCTACTTTTTATACCCTACCTATCACATCATACTTTTTCACTAATAACCAAACTATCACATCTTACTTTTTCCCATCACATTAGGGGCAAAATTGGAAAGTCAACCAAAATTACACTTTCCTTATTTTCCCCCAAAGTCAAAACCGGAAGGGTTTTGTGGAACAGAGGGAGTATATATTAATAATCTACTCCGTATATGTTAAGACAAATCAAACAAGTTCACATATGACTATATTTAGGCTTACACATTGAAAAAATTTGATGAGTCAAAGTGCTTAGATGAACAGTTCCAAAAGTCAAAAGTGGACAAAAACTAGGGGACGGAGGGAGTATTTTATATCAAAATATATACTTTTGAAATTTTTTACATTATCAGGTTTATCAGGTCGACTTGGGTTTGATCCATTTTTAGAGGGTCATTTCAAGTTCGATCAACTTCGGATTCAATTAGCAAAACTTTTGTTCAAAACTCTATATTTTCAGATCGGGTCATTTTTTGTCTGCTATAAGTGAGACTGTAACACAATCAAAAGTACCCTGGCCTAATAATAATAGTAATTATTACGGGTTATTATTAGACCTGGCAAAACAGAACCGGAACTGATTATCCGAACCGAAATATCCGAAACCGAAATCGAAATGACCCGAAAAATGAAGATCCGATCTATAATCGAAAACTCGAAATGATCCGAATCGAACCGAAACCGAACTAAATAATTCATATCCGATTTAAATCCGAAACCAATTTGATCCGAAACCGATAATATCAGAACCGATTAAACCCGAAACCGATTAGATCTGAAACCGATAATACCCGAACCGATTAGTAATAATAATAATAATAATAATAGTAATAATAATAATAGTAATAGTAGTAGTAGTAGTAGTAATAATAATAATAATAATAATAATAATAATAATAATAATAATAATAATAATAATAATAATAATAATAATAAATACTCCAAATAAAGTAGTCAAAGTGATTGAAGTGTTGTGGAACGTAGGGAAACAAAAGTATAGGTTGAGATGGGGTAAACTTTGTAATTTTTAGAAATTAAAAGAAACGTATTAATTAAGTTTGTAGTATTATGTTGCATAAAAAATACAAATGTCAATTAGTGAATGGAAGAGCGTGAATACCCTCTCAATTGTAAAGGCATGAGAGAAAAACCCTTCTTTTGTTGTAAGGTAATTTTGAATTTCTCTCCAAACACTTTAATATACTCCATATTCTTCAACCATGAGTGATTACTAACTAAGGTCCTGATTATTGCTTTGATTATACTGCTAAGCATATTTATTACGTTTTTAAAAATACAAGGAGAAATAAAACTTATTCATCTATTGTAATATTTCCTTCATTTCAAAAAATAAAAAAAAATCACTTGCTTTCTTTGTTGATTTGTCCCCCAAAGAAAAAAACCAATCTTTTTTAGAGAAAGCATTAAATAGCGGCAAGATTCCTTTCTTATCTCCATTATATATGTGAAAATTATAAAATGAGGACTAATTGAGAATATATTCTAAATGAAGCAATATTTTGTTTTTGAGAGCAGACGTATGTTGATTCCTCACAAGATGATCATGATGATTTTGGTGAAAATGTTACTTTTTCACATTAATATTGTTGCATGGAATGGCAGGTGAATGTGACCGCAAAATATATTGTAAGTGTTATGGATTGTGCTACGAAGTCAATGCGGCACGATTTGGTGGTGTGGATGATCCAATTTTGCTAGCTAGTAGATGCATGCAGCACATTCTATTATCGTATAGTAAATCCTGAATGTCGTTCGATTTTCATCGATTGCCCATGTGCAGTAGGTGACCCATTCTGCCCATAATGTAGAGCTAGTAATGAAAGCCATATAAATTTACGTTGTGTGAATTATTGATCTAGAGAGATATTTAAGAATATGTGAATCAAATAATTATTTAAGAATATGTGAATCAAATATTTATTCATTTACCTAAAAAAAATATTTATTCAAAGTCAAAATCAACTTGTGGGGTGCAATTGAAGGGGGTGAGGAGGTGTGTTCGAGTCGGGGCTGGGTGGGGGGGGGGGGTTTGCGGGGGGGTGGGGGGTAGGA